TGAAATTACTACAGGAGGCTGCAGTAATTTCCTACAGGAGGAAATTCCACTTGCAGGTCATTACTGACTCTTTACAGACAGCTAGCTTTTTGGGGGAGTCCAAATGAAATCACATAAAACTACATGGCATTGGTTCTCCCCCACTTAATGTTCCCCCACCACCACCAGCCCTCATCCTGGGAACCCAAATCCTTGGCTAAAAGTTCATGGATCTGTTGGGGACGCTGCAAAGTCTCTCCTTCCCAATGGCACATGTGATTTGGAGAAAACTGATGGGGGTGTGGATTAAAGAACCCTTGAGCCACAGCCCTTGACCTGATAAAAACACGAGCAAAGGCTTCTCTCTGCGATATATTAATTAAAAAGATATAAGATGTAGGTGCTTTCTCAGCAAATATCTAATCTGATATTATATACCTAAATGAACTCTGTCCAGAGGGCAGATACAATTACATATAAGTTACATCCATCCCCAAGGAGCCATCAGCCCATTCCACAGTGCATTACCACTCTGTGCACCACCTGAGTTGTGCCAGTGAGATGGGAGGGCATTGGCCTGAGTTAAAGTCAGTAAAATCTTGTAACTTGTCTAGAGACACACAGTGACCTTTTATTCTGCTAGACTGTGCTTAGAACATAGGTTCATCAAACAAATTAACTATAACCATGCGCAAAATTAAGAAGTCTCAGCAAGCTACGATATTTTGCTGTGTTTGGAAGAGATGCTGCAATTTTTGTGCAGCTGGAAAGTGCTGAGATGGTTTTAATGACATCTGCTGTCTCTTGATTGACAGAGCATAAACATTTCAGAAATACAGGCAAAAGCATTGCATCCACACAGCACCAGACAGCATTATTTACTGACTGCGACTGAGCAACTGCTATCAGTCACAAACTGCACATCCAACTCAGGGTTATTGTGATTTCATTTGAGAAATGTCCTCTTCTGGATGAAGTATTAGCAGCTTCACAAACACTGTCAGCTAATCAAAAAATATTAGAGAAGCTTTCCACAGCTTAGTGGTTTTTTGTCACTTGCTCTAGATGTTAGGAATATGGGGAAATGAATAAATGTATTAATACACAGCAGCCTGTCAGGAGCCCTTGGCATGCTGTGAGCCCCTGTACTGCATTTACCAGTCAAATTTGCCTGATACTCTCAGCAGTCCCCAACAGCAACCCATTCACATGGGAATCACCAAGAAGTCTATTTTAAATGATAATATCTGGCATTATCATAGAATCAGCTGAGTTGGAAGGGGTGCACAAAGATAATGAAGTCCAACTCCTGCCCCTGCACAGGACACTCCAGTTATCACACTCTGTGCCCAGAAGCATTGGCCAAGTGCTTCTTGAGCTCTGTCAGGATTGGTGCTGGGACCACTTCCCTGGGGAGCCTGTTCAGTGCCCAACCACCCTCTGGGTGAAAACCTTTTCCTGATACCCAACCTAAACCTGCCCTGACACAGCTTCAGGACATTCCCTCAGGTCCTGTCACTGTCACAGACCAGAGATCAGTGCCTGCCCCTCCTCTTCCCTTCACAAGGAGGCTGTGGACTGTGAATTTCTACCTAAGCCGTAGGTGGTATTTCATTTACAGATCTGACACAAATGTGATGGTTATTTACCCCACACTTATGTTCCACAATCTGAGCAACACCCTGACTCTTACAAAAAGTGCTGCCTCTGGTTATTAACTACATCCCTGCTAAGTTCTGCTCGCTGATATCTGGGTGGGTGGAACATGCCTTTCTGGATTCACAAAGACCCTCATCTTTGAACATAAACACTGCTGGATTGCAGGCTGGTTGGGAAGGGGGGCCAGGATAGGAGCAGGAGGGGATGGAAGGGAGAAAGAAAGAAAGGGGAGAAAAGCAGTTGGTGAAAAAAAAAAAAAAAACAAAACAAAAAAAAAAAACAGGAAATAAGTGAAAAAATATGAGGACTCTTTCTGTCAACTTCTTTTCCTTACTTCTGAGGTTCTCTCATGCTTCTCCATCACCCCTATTGACTGCTTGCTTCCTGCCTTCTCCCATTTCTCTTTTCTAATTCCTTTACACTGATTTTTTTTTTTTCCTCTACTAACATACTCCAAAAATGAGTGCCAATGCCAGAGTCTGCCCCCAGCAAGGCAGGAGCTTTGGGCAGTGGAGTTATTCTCCTGCCAACTGGAAGCCTCTCAAAGAGAGCTGCAATGCAGTGCAGTGCTACCTTCCCTTTATACACCAGGGAAAGCCAGGCAAAGATGGGTGCTCCTATGGAAATACGGAATATCAAAAGGGAAGAGTTTTGCATCAAAACAAAGAAAGCAAAAACATGTCAGTAAATTGTTTTGTATAAAAACAAACAAATCTTGCCTATACACAATGGGATGCATGTCTAAATGGAAATTTTCTCTGTGCTTTGGTGTCTGAAACAGAGCAGCTGGATGGTGAGAATATAGGAAGCATTTTTAAAGCAAAAAAAAATGTGGTTCAGACAAAAGAAAAACAATATCCAATATATTTCTGTTGACATTGATGTCACAAATCAACAATATGCTACTGTAGACCAAGGAAGAAGACAAATTCAATAAGAAACAGCTCCCTAGAATGTGCAGTATCCAGTCTTTGCTTTCTTCTGCTTCCTTCTGGCACTCGAGGCTTGTGACACTCTCTAGCAGCAGTGCAAGTCACAGCACTGCAGTTCTGCCCTGACAGGAGTATTTTTTGGCATGAAGCACAGCTCACATCTTGCTCACAGTCATGCCTCTGTGAAACCAAGGTGCTGGATTTATTCCAGCAAGGGGTAAGGATACAACAAAGCCATTTTTAAGATACAATTGATTTGAAAAAGGCCAAGATCTCATTACAGAAATCAAAACAGTGTACACTAAACGATATATGGGTATGTACTTCACCTTCTGATGTGTTCCAAAAGATATCTCACTCTGCTGCAAGCTGTATCAATGCATAAAGTCAGAGCACTTAAAAAGTGTAACAGCCTTAAGACTGATTCGTGAGATCAATCAAAAGCTTATCCATTTTAGGACAAATTACCAGTCATAAAATTTAATCCATAAAGTTGTATAGTCTGTGATCCTTGAACAATGCCTGATACAAAAAACTAAGTTTTTCAGTAGCACTTTTTCAATTATTTAATACAATTTCTTGCAGGTTTTGTTGCCTTACAGTATTTTCACTGCTTTTGATCTTCAGTGGCAATATAATATATATAAATACATGGACACCACCAAGAGATTTTCTTTGGACAGAGAGTAACTTTTTTCCTGTTATTCTGCTGGTTCCTTAGATTCATATGCACATGCATATTTAGTAATTTTTATCATTGCATCTTCTTAATGTTAATTGTTCATCAAGAACAAATCACATTTAGGCTAACTTTGCCTTTTGCTATTCCTACAAGAACTACTGGAAGAATTATATTTCATTGTCTGTGAAGCATCACATACCCTTACAACAAGTCAGCAAGTAACAAACCAAATTCTGAAGTTCCTCCAGAGCTCAAAATATTTTAAGTTCCACATCACTATATTGATGCACAGCAGTCCTGAGAGTCACATCTTTACAACCTATAGGTTGATCGTGTTCATTCTTGTTTCTCCATCTCAGAAAGAAGTTAGACCACTGTGCCTTAGTAAATTTAAGTGCACCTCAGCTACTTACTTAATGCATTTTGCAATAGAAAATCTGGCAGATACATGAAAAATCAAGTTTCTGCAGTGGCTAGAGTCAATTGTCATTTTCTGGCATCTTACTCAGTTCTGAAGTCAATTCCTACAGAGTTTGATTTTCTCAAACAGAAACTCAGCACAGGCTGCTATTTGATCCAATAATATTAAAAATAATAAAACAGTCAAACCTCTCTTCAAAGCAAATATTGACATCACAGTGTCTTTGATTCTCCATTGCCCAGCATCTGATTTAGTCACTAGACAAATGAAAGAAAGTGATTGTTCAGAAACACTATGGACTACGTGGTCCACATAACACTCTAAGGTCCTTGAGCTTCTCCAGCAGTGCTTGAAACAGAGCAGAGCTAGCTGGCTGCTTCAGAAACCCCTGGAGAGGAGGGGAATGCACAGAGCTGCAGGACTCTGCCAAGCAATGAGCACTGCTCCAGCACACAGCACACACCAGGAAAGCTGCCACCACCAGCAGATGAGCTTTAGAAAAATGAGCTGAAATAGTTCTGATACAGATGCCCAGGTGCAATTCCCACCCTACATCTCTGATGGGAACACGTGGCCGAGAAGGGGATGTGCTCCCATCTCCACTGCTTGGCACTTCAGCCCCAGACAGAGACCCAGCAGAGCAGCTGAGCTGCTGCTCCCACTGCTCCTGCCCCTGAGGCAGCAACCCCCAGCAAGAGCTGCGCTGGCGCTGGGGAGCAGCAACTCCTAGAGACCACCACAGATGTTTGCTTCAGTGCCCACAAATCCAAGTTCCTGGGGAAGCCACCGGGGTGGCCTTAATCACAGCAAGATCCCCTCCAGGCACCAGAATTGCTCAGGGTCACAATAGCAGGAGAGGTGGCTAAGTGGAACAAAAAGGTCCTATCCTGCTTACACCAGACACTTTATCCTGGGAATTATGACTAAAAACCTCTAGGACCTGATAGAGCTTAGCCATGGCTGGATCCTAGGAAAAATACAGGCACAATGGGAATAATTTATTTTAACAAACTAAAAATGTATTGTGCTTTTGGAAAGAAATTAATAAATATTATGCTTCCATGGAGTAAAAAACAGTATGTACCAATATATTCTCTGCCCCAACTTGGAAAATGGATTCCCAGCTCTAAAATTACATAAATGTGTTAGAGAGCACAGTTTTACATGTACATAATTCCTTCATTTATGTAATGTTTTTACAGGTGAAAACTTCACTAACTTATGCAATAGTTCTTATACATTTTTAATACATCTCTACCTGAAAAGCAGAAAATTATAAAAGCAAATTCTGTGTAAGATATGAGACTGCTGCAGTGGAAAAAAAAAAAAAAAAAAAAAAAAAAAAAACCCATAAAAAAAAAAAACAAAACAAAAAAAAAAAAACACTTATCTCACATGTAAAACTCTTTTCCCAATTTTTTGTCCCCAAAAATGCATAACACTAGTTGTGTAAAAAATAAACCACTATATGAGGCATATTTTAAAGCCTCATATAAACAATGAAGCTTTTATGGCATCCTCAGAGCAAAGAATGTCCAAATATGGCTGAGTTAAGAACCCTGAGAATTGACTGCTCTTAATGAATTCACTGAAGTTTGTCAGTCCACATTTACAAAGAATCAGAAGAGAAATAAAGAGAAGCAAATGTGATTCAATTCATTTTCCTGTACCATTCTCTAAAGATACTGTGTTATAAACATCCTCCATATCTTGGATACTGGAGGCATCTGTTGAATCTTGGTCACTGACTACAATTCCTACTGAAGAAAGGCTAGAAATGAAGGAGTGCATCTTTTTTGCATAAATATCCCTAATGTTAAAATAGGGTAGGTCATTGCTTTTCTCTTTGCGATCATTGTTGCACTGGTCTCTATCAATAGCTTTTTGCTTTTGGTAGTACTTAGAAAACTTATTGAAAATAATGGTGATTGGAAGTGCTACCACCAGTATCCCACAGATAATGCAGAGGGTGCCGAGCAGCTTTCCAGCAAGTGTGACCGGGTAAGTGTCCCCATAACCAACAGTGGTCATGCTGATGGTTGCCCACCACCAGCAAATAGGGATGCTCTGCAGCTCTGATGAGTCATCATCTTTCTCCACTGAGTAGACAAGCACTGAAAAGATAGAAATCCCAACTGACAAAAACAAAAGCAGAAGTCCAACTTCTTGGTAGCTGTGTCTCAAAGTGGCTCCCAAAGACCGCAGTCCTACGGAGTGCCTGGCCAGTTTCAGGATGCGAAATATCCTCATTAACCGTAGGATCTGAACCACTTTTCCCATGTTCTCAATATCTTCACTCTCTTCTTCCTTTGTGTCCACAGCCAGTGTGGCATAAAATGGGATAATAGAGACAAAATCGATGATGTTCAGTGGTTTCTTCCAGAACTTCTTTTGACTTGGAGCAGTGAAGAGCCTGATCACTAGCTCAGCAGTAAACCAGATGATGCACGTAATCTCCACAGCTTCCAGCACAGGGTCTCCAATCTCCCTGTCACTGGCATCCAGCCTTTGAAATTCTGGCATGCTATGAATGCACATGGCCACAATTGATGCCAGAACAACACTCAGGGATGACACGGCAATTAACTTGGCAGACAAGCAGTATGCAGGATTTTCCATCCTGACCCAGATCTTCTTTCTTATTTCACCAAAACACAGATTATCAAACTTTTCTAGCTCTTTATCAAATATGGATGACTCTTCATTGGAGGAGTCCATACTGTCGTTGCTCTTCTGATCCCAGTCTTTTTCAGGACCTTCCTCTTTCCGTTCTTGGTACCGATTGCTGCAGCAGGAATCAATAAACAGCTCGTTTATCCCCCAGTACTCTATTTCCTGGCAGAAGGAAAAGACACAAAGCTCTTCCATAACGTGAAGTTTGCCCGTATAGTAAAAGTTCAGAACATATCGGAACAAGGAAGGATTCCTGTCAAAGTAATATTCCTTGTCTGCCACACTATAATCATCACACAGCTCTAGAATAGCCTCTTCTGAATGGCACTTGAGAAGTTTTCCGAGTCTGGTATGGGGAAATCGGAGCAAGGTGCTTTGATCCACAGATTGCTTAAAGCCACCCACATTCAAATTGATAAGTTCTGCATCTTTGCCAGGTCTGCGGAAAAATTCACCATAAACCATTTTGGACAGACGAGTTCCACTGTTGTTGCCCAATGAGATTACATAGAACCTGAAAAGAACATAAGATATTGTTAGAGCATTTAATTCAGTTTTGCTCTTGTGACACATTCTTTTCTTCATCTCTGGTTACTGTGAAATGCTGTAACAAAACAAACAAACAAAAAAATTAAATTACAAATACCCTTATTCAGCAGTTCACAGGTGTAGTTTTAAATTAATTTGGTTTACAGCTTTAGCAAATTTGAAAGCAAGTTTGACCTGGTTTAGGTCTCCTTTTTACCAGGCTGAAGAAAGACTGCCAAATTCATCTGCAAATCAGTCTCTGTTTTACTACCACACTGAAATTAATAGTCACGAAATCCACTTCAATGATGCAAAAAATCTTTAAAGAGAAAACTTGTCAATCAGTCAAAACATTTAAGATAAAACTTTTGAGCAGGTTTCTCTCAATTACAGTTTCAGTTGAGTTGTATTAATTTATATGATGTTGCAATTTATAATCCACTAGTTCCAATGTTATTTGCTTGAATGTGGACTGCAATTACTTTTGCAGACATATCAATTCATTTACTTCTAGGGTAATTCACACAACAGTGTTCCATGCTCTTGAAAACATATCACAGCTGTATTTGAGGCTTTTCAATTCCTGACTTCAGAATGCTGTAGTATACATTTGGGTTTCTGCACTTCCTCAGGTATTTTCCTATCTGCCTTCCTACCCAACTGAAGTATCACAGCCTCTTACAGCCTTGGTCAGTTCCAAAAGCAATTCCTATTCTGCCACAGCATAGCTATAACCACTACAGCAAAGCTGAGAAGTTGGAGTTGAAGTGTCATCTATGGAAACAGAGCTTTCAGAGATGGAACTTCCACAGTAATTTTTCCTCAACAACTAACTGTGGACACCTGCAGATGGACAGAAGGGCATTTAAATGTTTCCCTATTTTACTATAAATTCAGCTGAAACTGAATTCAAAAGGTAGTTATAATTACTAGTGAGTAAGTTAACTTTTACAGAACTGCTTTCTTGCTTTCCTTCCAAGGAGAAGCCACTGTAAAGCCAAAACTGGCAGCTCTTACACTTGCAATCAGAATATATGTTAACTTCAGATCATGAGGAGAGCAAATGTTTTTGACCTCTGACACTTAAACACTAATTGATGTACACTAAGCTAATTTATTTCAGTTTAGTATGGAAATCAATTAATTTTAAATGTGACAAGATAATAAAATTCTCCTGCCCGAAGAGATGACACCATATGGTGCCATGCTTAGCATGTAGAGCTGAGGGAAGAAGAGGGAAAGAGGAGCGACACTCAGAGTGAAGGTGTTTGTCTCCCCAAGTCACCATTAAATGGGATGGAGCCCTGCCTTCCCGGAGCTCTGCCTTCCTGGCTGGACACCTGCCTGCCCATGGGAAGGGGTCAATGAATTCCTTGTTTTGCTTCACTTTTGCTTTACCTATTAAATACTTTTTATCTCAACACCCAAGTTTTCTCATTTTACCATCTGGTTCCCTGCCCCACCCCACAGAGAGTGGGTGAGCATGAGGTTGAGCTGCCAGTTGAGATTAAATCACGACATAGAAATGATTTTGCTCCTTTAAATTTAGTTTTAAGGCAGGTATTTGCTAGGTAATAAAGTGGTTGTAAGACACATTTGCTTCAGGCATTTCCCAAGGCTTCAGTTTTTAGGAATCATTAAGACATCAAATATGACCATTGATCTCTCCTAACAGAAGGGCAGCAAGACTCATCTGATAAACATCACCACACTTCTCTCACGATCTAGAGCCAAGCTCTGTTTTATAGCACTATAAATAAAAAAAAGCCATAAATCTGGACTGGAATGACTGGAAGTCAAAGTATATTCAGACCCAACAAACCTCTAGTTATTGATTCATTTTAGTCAATAAAATCTCCACTTCTAGCAACTCATTAACATGAGAACACTGGCAGTGTAAGTGAGCACTATAAAAACCAAGCAAGATCTCATGGAGTCATAGACCAGTAGAATAGTTAGGGTCAGTCTCATTCCCACCCTCTCTGACAGGGCCAGGGAACCTTCCACTAGACCATCTTGCTCAGAGGCCCATCCAACCCAACCTTGAACAATTCTGGATGGAGTAGGATGAAACATCCACAGCTTCTCTGGACAACCTGTGCCAGTGTCTCACCAACCTCACAGTAAAGAACTCCTTCCTAATATCCAATCTAAATCTACCCTCCTTCAGCTTAAAGCCATTACCTTCCTGTCTGGGGCACTTCTGGTCATGACAAATAATGACAAATACAAAGCAAGTTTTAGTCATAAATAACTAAAGCAAGAACTTAGTGCTTAGCAAATTCTTAGTACACTAGACTGACTTAGTGTTGAGACAGCAATATAAAACCATATCAATTATGCAAATGATATTCATAATGATGCCTCCATGAAATTACTCTGTATAATAAATTCAGTGGGCAATATTTTACTGCTTTATTTTGAGGGTACTGTAGTCATAATTTGTGCAAAATACAGAGAGAAAGTGGATTTTGCTTAGTAGATCATGGTCCAGAACCTGCTTAATGTATTACTACCATTAAGTGATTTTTAGACTACAGAAAGAATGTACATGAAAGATTCACAGTAACTGTATCAAGAGGAGCTTGATCATCTGAAGAATGTCATGTCTGACTTGCAGAGACCCTGACTCCTGAGCCATGGACCAGGACATTGTTCTGCCAGTTACTATCAGAATAATTTGCATCATTTTACCAAGTGACTCAAGCTACAGGGCAATGACCACAGATGAAAACTTCTGTCTCAGCACAACATTCCCTCTACTCAAGGAAACTCTTCACTCACTCAGGAAACTTTTTTCCTCAAGGGTAAAACTGTGCTCAGCTGGAAATGATATTTTCCTGGAGTGCCAAGGCCTGTGTCATGAACATTCTAAGAACCACAAGCTTTGCAAATCTCAACCTGAAGTGCAACATTAACCTCTTTGATCTTCTTCAAATACAGATAACATAATAAACTGATAACCATTCCAAATCACACAATTCTTGCCCTGGAGAGAGTATAAGAGAGCAAATAAACACATACCAGATGTTAGTTACTTGTTTGCTTTAATTGCTTCAGCTGTTTCAAGCAGCTACTGGCTAAGAATTAATACAAAATAGAAAATGAAACAAGACACAGAAGAAAGATGCTTACTGGAAGAATGAACATTATTTTTCAAGATAACCAAAAAATCCCAACAAATAGAAGCTCCAAATGTTAAGCTTCAGGGCTAAATAGAAGCCAGCCATAAGGAAAGCTGTGTGAAAAGGATACAAACTTTAGAATAAAGAACAGAATGACAGGATCTAACTCTTCCCAGTCCAATTTGGAGATGGGCTCTAGCCAGTGCTTCTGCAGTCACACATTGTTGGTGAGGCCACAGGCCCATTGTCTGGCTTGGAATGGGAACTGCAAATTTCTGGGCTTTTAGCACTCTGTGAAATCCCTAAAGCTCTCAAAAGGGGAGTCATGGAGACAGTTTGCAGATACAGTCCCTTTGAGACAGCTATGACACAGATGTGCAACACATCCCAAAGCCCTGTGGTTTCCAACCTCTTCTGGAACAAACCACTAAGAGATTTTTAGTGACTATGTGGATCCCCATACTACACATTTATTTGTCAGCAAAGTTCCTCTTTCTCAGTTATGTCTTGCATAGTATTTACATAAAGTCACCATTCTCTGTGAGGTCCTACACCACAAGTTTCAGAACATTTTTTTTGACATGTTGAATTTTTGAGCATGACACCACCTTGGCCACCTGCAGCTCCAAACTGGGGCAGTTTCATCTTTTGTTAGCATTAATCTGTGATTATGCAGGCCCAATAGAAAGGAAGTTGAACTGCTTTACAACTGTTGTGCTCTGCTGCTTGAAATACTCAAAGAGAGCACATGCCTACAGATTTTCTACCAGTTTCCTTCATGGTTATGTTGTCTTAGCCTCACCTCCTGCTTCCTGCGCAGTTATACTCCATAAACCTCTCAAGATAAGGTTCACATTTTAGTATGGTTTCCTCTAAGTTGAAGGAACATAAAAGGGCCAAGTCCTGCTCACAGCGAAGTCACAAGGGATGTAAAACTGATGTGAACCTGAAAGGGCAAATCCCAGTAACTCTACAAAGTATTTCCAGAGCTCAAAGTCATTTTTTCCCAAGGAATCTGATGATCTTGATAGATTTCCATTTTAGGGTTCCAAACTCAGGAAATTCAGCTGTGAGTAAATTCCCTCTAAAGAATCTTACTTTGGCACTCAGCCATGCCCAGGAACCAGATTTTGTCTCCTAATGATGCAAACACCTGGGCTGTTACTTCTGCTAATTTCCTGACAGTTAAGAGCTTCTACCAATCATCCAAGCTACACACGTGCAGGTTCTGACACCAAAGTAATTCTAAAATGTTGTGGATAACAAACCATAATAACCTTCAGCTCAGGATCAACATTTCCCTGATTTTTTAAGTGTTTGAATTCCCACTCATCACAGGGCAAATACTTGTCTAATGCACCATCTAGAAGTACTGTCTACATTTCTGACTCACTGAGCAGAGAAAAACACTTAAATGCATGTATAATTTACTTGATCAATCACAATTAGGGATTTTGGACTGAAATCCAGTTAGCATGACTTAAGTTGTTGTCTGTCAGCTGGGCAGTAGTAACTGCTTTCGCACACCTAATTAAGCCTAGAAAAATGTAAGGTAATATTGGCACAGCCTCTTTCACTGTGATTTAAACTGCAACATTCAATTTGTTGCAATACTTGTCAGTTAAGTTAGTTGTAAAGTCATGCACAGTCTATGGAGGCAGAGGCTAACTTAAAAAGTCATCCAGCACAAATAGCAAGACCATCAGAAGAAACCACTCTGTGGTTATGGACACTCTGTGAAGCAAAGAGGACAAATTAATCAGCTAAATTGCTTTCTCAGCTGTAATTTATTTTTTGTATTCCACTGGCAGTATCATCCTCTATCCATAATATTGCATTAAAATGCCATGAAAATAATAGA